GTAACTTTTATCAATTTTAAATAATATTGAAATTCCTTTTATAAAATTTTTTCAGTTCATTGAAGACGAAGATAACTCTTTTAAATAAAGTGAATCAATTAACCAATTAATTTTGTAACTTAAAAAAAATTCATTAATCTGATAAACTTTATGGATAATCTAACAGCTATTCTAAATTTTTATATATAAATTTAATTCAATATATAATGTATTACTTAAAGATAGAGGGTTATGTCGATAGATGTGTGATATAATTAACCATTTTAATAGGATGATAGATTATTTTTTTAAAAATCAACATTTTATTGCAACGTGATCAAATTAAATCTTACTTCAAATAGAGATTTCTTTCAAGATTTAATAGCCTGTTCAAACCCTAAGTATAGATAATTTTCTCATATAATCCTCAACGAATAAATAATATTTTATTATTTTTGTTTATACTAAACAAAAAAATTTTCTTTAGATCGACATCATATATGTATATAGAAATGATCTTCATAAACATAGCTACTTATATGTATTACGTATCAAAAGTTTTAAGCTTCTTTTCTTCTCATGATAATCAATAATTCATATTTACAAAACTAAAAAAAAAACTGTTTTAGTGATGAACTTTATTAATATTTAATATTTTTTTATTTTTATTAATATATATGTACTTTTTTTTATCAAATAGTAAACAAATGGAAAAGAATGTGGGTTGAAGCATAGCTAGAAGTGGGTTTAATTATTAGCTAATAACAAGCTGACTGGCAGTTTACTAGTTTCACTACCAAGCTGAAGGTATGGAGGCTTAACAGTAATCTTAGTGAGGGGATTAGCTTTTTCTTAATATAGAATTAGCTATATTTTTCTTATAGACCAATCATACTGATACTTGAGATTTACAAAATTAGTCACAAAACCTGACATGCCTCTTGTACGATTTCTAATATTTTAATAATCTTAATTTATAAGAATCACATTTAAAGTTTCAAACCTTTATATTACATCTAATCAGAAGAAAAATTTTTTTCTTTTAATTTGAATTTGGCCTTCAAATAATTTAATGTTTTATCTTTACTTTTGCTATATGTGTGATCTGATTTTAAAATTTTCAAAATCTATTATACAGGTGTAATAGATTCTATCAATTCTCTACTATACTACTCTTATAGATCAATAATCATTCTGACTTCTCAATTCAACAAGCTATTACTGTCATAAGTTAATTTTATTTATTACTTTCTGATCTTTAATCTTGTTCATATGAGTTATACAATTGTTCTCATATAATTACGGTAGTAGCAATTATTGTTAATGTAATAGATAAAATATATATATATTAAATAATGTTTCTATGATTTGTTTTAAAAATTATTATAATATTAAATCCACTATAACGTTACATTACTAAATAAAAATAATGGAGTAGTTTTTTATTAAGCCAAATGATTTTTTATTAATTTTCTAAAAAAATATGTGAATAAATTTACCAAGTTGAAATGCTTTCAATAAAATATAAAAATACTAATAGCTAAGTTAAAACTAATAAGATTTTTTTTTATATGTTTATCTACATTAATTATATAAATAATATCTCTAGTAACCTTAACAGGATAATAATTTTTTACATATATTTTTTTTCAGATTTATCAAATGTGATTGTAGGGGAAATAGAACTATGAAAATAAATCCTTACTCATGTTAAATAGTAGAATGGTTGTTATTTATTTTAATATTTACGATATCATCACTTACAAAATGGAAAGAATTAAAACTTTTGACAAATTTTCAATTATTTTCAGATCTTTTTTTTGTATAAAAAAATGCCTTTATTTATAACTATACAATATGCATTTTCCTAAAATCTTTTATTGAATAAGTTTTCAAATTACTTTATAATTCTGAAATACACTCGTATTCATTGAGTAATTTAATTTAATCTTAATTTTTTTTCTATAAAATATAAAAAAAAAATCACTTGCTTTTATTCAATATCTTTAATTAGTGATAATTAGTATAACATATAGAAATAATATATAGAATAAAATTTTTTTTTGGATTGATTATTTTTTCAATATTTTATGTTACCTTGTATGTCTTAAATCTATATTTAAAGAAAAAGAACCTAGAAGTGAAAAAGCATGAGATTTGCTATGATCAATAAGTTTTTTATAAACTCTTTTATTAACTAGGTAACAGAAACTATTGAAGTGTCTAAAGCATTCAAATTAGTTGATCAACTATACTTAAATTTTAACTAATTACGAATTGACATTATATTTATCACATGATCTGATAAATTAAGTGTAAGTAGACATCACATGCATAGTTTCAGCTCTAACTGAAAGTGTTTTATACTTATACTTTAAACAATAAAGTGAATATTAATACAAAATTATAATTTGATGAAATAACTTATAATTTCTTTAAAGAAAATTAATACCATATAATTTTCAATAATCTATAATATTTGTATCATATTATTAAAAATAAATTATGTAATTTTTTAAATAAAACTATTAAAGCCAATTAATTAGTGATAAGAAAAATAAATAAAATTATAAAGATATTGTAATATGATTTTTTTTTTTTATTAATATTAATAAATGATAAATAAGTTTATTAGCATTATTTAAAAAAGCAATTAATAAATATTTATATAAAATAAACTATATTATATTAATTAAATAAATAGATAATATTTTTAAAAGACATTAATATTTCTTTTTAAGTATTGAAACTTTATTATTTAGATAGTAAAAGTATTTTTAGTTAATTGTTAATTATTAAAATTAATAAAATATTAAAAAATAAATTATATAAAGAATTTGATAAATATACAATTAAAAGGCTATCATATTTAAAATAAGTATTTACTATGTATTGTAATTTAATTTCTTATTATTTAGAGAACCTTTTTCTTATTAGATGCTTTTATCAAGTAACAATTATAAAAATAAACTAGATCGATAATAGGTAAAACTATTACTTCATTTTATTTATATAAGAGACTTTCTTCAAATATTATTTTGTTAACACCATTATCTCTTACAAAATTAACTACCAAAACTTTCTATTAGTTAAACATTTATAGAATATTAATAATTTGTCATAAGATATATTCTAACATACTTTACTGTTCTTTTCTTTTTATTACTTTTATATTATAAGTTAAATAATTTTGATCTTTCAATCTAACTATTTTAATAATCAGGTTTATTTAGTAATTATTTAATATACTGTAATTGGCAAATATAACAAAGAAGAAAAGAATTTAAGCTACAATATTCTTATATTTTTATAATAATTTTGTGAAAAAATATATCAAACGTCAAGATTAAAAGTTTTATTTGTATTTAGAATATATGTGTTATATGCTTTACAAATATACTGATTTTGATTACCTTACTATTTTTAACAATGCATCTGATTTTGATTTCTTTATTATTCAATATTGTGTATTCTAATTTCGATTACCTTACCATTTTCAACAGTACATCTGATTTTAATTTCTTTACCATTCAACATTATGTATCCTAATTTCAATTTTCTCACCACTTTTAGCAATACACCTGATTTTATTTTTTATCATTCAACATACATTCTGATTTTGATCTTCTCATAATTTTCAGCAGTGCACCTGATTTCGATTTCTTCACCATCAATATATATATCCTGATTTTGATCTTTTCACTATTTTCAGTAATGTATCTGATTTCTATTTCTCTACCATTCAATATGTATACTATAATTTGATTTTTTCACTATTTTCAACATTACATTTTGCACCTAATTTCAATCTTTATACCTTTTAAATATCATATATTTGTTGAAACAAACCAGAGGTATTTAATTTCTCTCTTTAGGTTTAAGATGAAGTTAAAATAATTGACCTTTCTAAATAGCAAGAATTTGAAATTGATTTTCAGGGGAGTGAAGGTAAAGTTGTTAGCAAGAAAAAAATGAAGTAGTATGGTGAATCAGAATCAGGTATGATTTGAAAATACAAGAACAGATGGTAAGTTTTTTGCAAATATGTAATAATATTTTGGGGATAGAAAATAATGTATGTTGAGAATTCAATACAGACAGAAATTCCTTTGCATCAGTTGATAAACACTCAAAACAGCTGAACTTATTTATATAAAAATTTGGCAATTTTTGACTGGATGATTAGGGAAAAGAGGAATTAGGGCGTTCTCAAGCATCTCCCTCAATGTGATTGAGATAATGCATGCATCATGATCAATTTAAATAAGGATCACAATTAATAAAAAGAATAATAGAGCTAAATGAAGGAAAATGGCTTGAACGATCTCTTTTATACTCAATCAATGGTAAATTTTAGCCAATCATTGTAGCTCTAATTTCATCGAAATGGTAACTCATTTGATCTGAAAAATCAATCTCCAATTAAAATTTCATTCCGATCCATTTGAGTTAGGTGCCCTTAGGTGCTTGAAATTAAGTATATGCAGTATTTCTTCTATCTCTATTTACTAGGTGATTATAATCATCAAGTAGTCGAAGACGTTTATTATTAATTTTATAAATAAAAATGTTTAGAAGAAATTACGTCCTTCATTAATATCTTTATTAGTAGCATTTCTACTAATTTTATTTGTTGCGTCATGAAAATTACATGAAATGCAAATTTTTGTTGTTAACATAAATTGAAATTCTGTTGGGCCGAGGAGGATTTTATGATGAGTTTCATGGTATTATAGCTTGAAGATCATTTATTTTTTATGGCAAATGAAACGCATTCAAATTTATTTCTATTTTTAATAACAAGGATATAATATAAATGGATAGATAAAGTCAATCAAATTAAATACGATGTAGATTTTAGAGAAGTTCTATGGTTAGATGTTAAACATTAATAAAGAATGCCTTGAAAACAAGCAATAAAAAAAGTCTACTCGTGCTAAATTTCTAATTAAATGATCGACAAGTGATCGTGATAAAGATGCCGCATGACTAAAAATTTTTTTTTGTCACTCATTTTCACAATGTCAGACGACCACATAAATGTGCCATTCTTTAAAAAGAAAACTAGATTAAATGTAAACCTTAGAAAACGTAAAAAGTCACCTTCACCTGGTGCCAATGTAGGAGAAGAAGATAATTCTTCAGCCGTGGTAACAAAAGAAAGAAAATTAGACACTTCACATCCTTTTGTACAGGCTTCAAAAAAAGGAAGACGTGTTACCAGGGAAGAAATTAGTGACATGTATATTGCTAATAAATCTGCTGTCACTTCTGCTTCTGAAGATATTGCTACTAGGACTGCAGAATGGGATACTGAAACAGATAGAGATGCTCAAGCTTTATTGGAGAAGAAATTGGCCGCCGAAGAAGTAAGTTTTAAAACTTGTCTTTTAATTAAGTAAATACTATTAATTCCTTTTACATAATTCAGGCACTCGATGATAACCTTTATAAAGGGGCAAATGCGTATAAATCCTATATCAAGAAACGTGATACGGCTGCTGGAAGTGCCGCGAGTTCAAAAATAAAGTATGTTGCCATTTTATAATATATATATATATATATGCTGATAGATTTTTTTTATTTCTTATTATAGAGCTGGGCCAATTCGAGCACCATCAAATATTCGGGTAACTTCACGATTCGATTACCAACCCGACATATGTAAAGATTATAAAGGTATACGTGAATTCGTTTATATAATTCGTTTAATTTAGATGCTAATAAATCATTCATTTTTTAGAAACGGGATATTGTGGATATGGTGATTCGTGTAAATTTTTACATGATCGAGGTGATTATAAGAGTGGATGGCAATTAGAAAGAGAATGGGAAGAAATGAATGGAAAGTTGAAAAAAGATCCAAATGCATTTCTCGTCGAGAATAGTGACGAAGAGAGTGAGGAAGAATTACCATTTGCCTGTATTATTTGTCGACAAAATTTTAAGGATCCTATCGTCACACAGTAAATATATATTTTTTTTAGTGATTGTTTATATATTTTTATTATAATGGTCATCATTGTGATTTTATTTTTTTAAAAAAAAAAAAAAAAGATGTGGACATTATTTCTGTGAACGATGTGCTTTACAAAATTTTTCTAAAAGTCCAAAATGTTATGCTTGTGGGGCTTCAACGAATGGCATATTTAATACCGCGAAGAACATATTACAAAAACTTGAAGATAAAAAGAAACGAATGCCTGAAAAAGGAGAAACTAATGAGCAAGATGAAGAAAAAGAAGGAAATGAAAGTGACGAAAATTCAGATGATGACGACGATAATGATAATGAAAAAAAAATACTGATTAATAAATGACTAAATAAGATAGTAATATTAAATTGTAAATTGGTTTTTTATTCGGTGAATTCTAATTCTAAAACTTCTATATCACTACCACGTATAACTACTTGATCATAAATTCCGACGGGTGATTCCCAATTTTCAAACCGAAATTTTGTTTCGTTCGCATCCACTGCTTTAAATGTTCCTTTTATCACTGTTCTATTTTTCGAGTTAAAATTTTTTATTTACGTAATAATGTATACAAAAAAAAAAAAAAACGAAACTCAACATACTTGTCATGAAGTCGGGCTGTTGTATTTGGTTTTCGTTTATTTGCTTCCAACCAAAAAAGCAAAGACCTTTGTCGAAGTAATGTTTTGATCTTCTGGTCATTATTATTTTCTTGAGAGAAGTGTGTTAAAGTAGTGATTTGTTTGCCTGTCTCATCACTTTTTGAGAATTCCATCAAAAAAAAAAAAGTTTAAAAAAATGTAAAAATAAAGATCGATAAAAAAAACCTTCAATCATGAAGATCACTTTGATATATCTAATAAAAGAACAGATTCCAAACAATAAAAAAAAATTAAATCTAAAGGTTTAAATAATGACGAAGTTTACAGGAAATCTAGTAAATAAAGATAATAAAAACCATATTATTCGAATTTAACAATAAATGCTATATCGATAATATTGATATATCATCCAACAATTTATCTTTCAAGAATAAATAATTCTTTTTTCTAACTCTACCAATTTCGCGGGATAATCAAGTACATCCATTACATAACGTTCACGTAAAAGAATTTAATTTATCAAAAAAAGAAACATAACAAACTTATTTGAACTAAAAAATGTTTATACTCCAACTTAAATGTAATGATATTATATACTGTATCTTACAAGTATTATTAATTATTATTCAAGAATAATAATAAAAAAAAAAGGTATTTCACAGATATAAATTTTTAATAGACCGACTAATCTTAATATAAATTTTTTATTATACAATAATAGTTGACTAATTTTACAGGAAATATGAATTCATTTTGTATTAATGAAATAATATGAATTATTGAAATAAAGTAATGAAAGAAGTTGCATATATTAAAATAATGATATGATTATTTAGTATAAGATTTCATACCAAAATTGATTCTAATTATCCTGACTTCTATCATGTAGAATTGCTTAATATATAACAGATTACGTATTTTGTAATTTTTTTTAAAAGACACAAACTTTTGTCTTGTCTGCTCGTCACCACGAGAATTTTTATCACGTGACAACGTTGAAATTTTGCAATTATTGATCGTCGTCCTCATCCTCATCCTCATCCTCGTCACCTGAATCAGAATCATATGATCCTTCAGATATGTCATCATAATGAGTTGTTCTAATAATTGGTTTGGATTAGACCAATGAATTTTTTAACGGACATTTTTTCTTTACTTACTTGGATCCAAGATCCTTTTTGTCTACAGTCTTGTGTTGGAATTTCTCGGATAATGCATGTATTCGAATTTCCTAAATATTTGAAGTATTGAAAGTATCCTTGAATATAATTACAGAAGAAATATAAATATATAATTCAATTGTGCTACCTGTTGTAACCTTTCTTGACATTCTTGTAGTTTAATGGACTCTTCAATTGAAATTTGATTTGCTTTGGCACTTGGGTTATAAAATCGGCCTTTTTTTTTATTCCCAAGCGAGACAGGAGTTATCTTTGACATTACACAAGTTTGTTTTGCGCCTTCCTCACAAATGTTCATCTTGCCTATCAAATTTTCCAATTCACTAGTGGAGGTTGAAAGGTTTGATTCATGCTTCTGAAGTAATTCACTAATAAGTTTATTCCTTTCACGAAGTTTTTGCCCTTTATCGGCTAATTTTGAAATGATCTCCCTAATTTTAAATAATAATAATCATGATTACTTTTAGAGAAAAAAAAAAAAAATAAATCGGTTTTTTTCGAATTGGAAACCCTTACTCGTTTTCTAGTAATTTATTATTTTTATCCAACTTTTCCTTCAATTCTTTCGGTGAACAAGTCGTGAGAGCTTTCATTTCATCGACATTTTTAACATTTGTGTTAAAAATCGATCTTTGCATTGAAGACGAACCTTTTTTGTAAGAGAGTGATTTCGGGACATCTAAAAAGTTTTTCGATGATTGATTAGAACATTAAAAGTGTTGGAAGAATTACAAGATCCTTCCTTAACTAAACCTTTCTTAGGAAGAGGCATCCTTTGGAAAGATCTAACGTGGGACTCTAACTAAAAAATAAATAAAAAAAAAAAAATAATAATGGGGGGTAGAACATGACACTACAAAAAAACGACATCATGAATTTTTAATTTATTTATTGATCTTCAGTTCGTGTAACATTACATCATCAAGCGCGTCTGAGGAAATATTGCGCTTTTCCGAATTAGGAGATAAAAGTCATGACGCGTGAATTATCCGTTTTTAAAATTTACACTGCCACTAAACTCATTTGCCACAATTTTTTTTTTTTTTTTTTTCGCCCAACTTTTTTTAAAGAAATCAATAAATGCCATCAAAATTTTGGAATTTAAAAATTCCCCAGAGAGTGTTTCTACTTTTTTATCATTAATACGACAAAATATGCAAGTTTCATCAGAATATCTTCATCAATTTGATATTCTTCAATTTGGAACGATGATGCATGAAAAGATAAATGTATTTATTTATTTTATTTATTTATTTTCGTTGTTTGCTTTGTTTGAAAGGAAAAGAAGATGAATTTTTTCCAAAAACAGCCAACAACAAAGAAATAAAAGCTACATACTTATGTACTTATTCACCTTTTCAGCCATCGAATTTGTATGAAATTAATTTAAAAGACAATGATAATGGTAACGTTAGTCAACCGTTTACGACAAGCCAATATATGATTGATGGTCATCATATACAACCAAAATATTCCACCAACTATGCGGAACTTCCAACTTCTCACAATAAAGAACCTTCTCAATGGCTACCTAAACTGGACGATGTCCCACTTTTAGAAATCGAGAATAATGCAAATAATGATAACCTTTCGGAGCTTCCCAAAAGGGAAAACGAAGCACTGGAAACACGTGTCAATGCATACGATAATAATGATGTGGTTTCCGAAGAAGAGATCACGGAACAAGAATTATTCAATAAAATTAATGAGATTATGAAACAGGAATACGGAAAAGCAAATAAATCGCATGTCAATGAACCATATCAATTTTTGCCTCGCGATTATATAGAACGCGTTCGTCAATCAGATGAATTTCAAGGATATGAAAAACGTGCACCGTTTAACCATCCTCGTTGCAGAATGTGTGAGAACGTGAACAGACATCGTGGCAAATTTTCGCGTATGAGATACGTGACAATTACAGACGATCCAATTCGTGAGGTATATTTGATATAAAGAATATATTTTAATTTATATTCTGACAAATTCATTAACTAGAAACAATTTTTAATTTCGTAAGAATGAACTTAAACCTTTGATACGTAATCAATTCACGACATCAGAGAACATGCAATGCGATGAACAAACAAGTGAACACGGGAATGGCGTTTATAATCCCACGTGCTTGAATGGTGGGAGCACAATTAAAGCGGCGTCATTGGAATATTGGGGAGATCATTCCATTGATAGCGTTGAACATTCTTTGACGCAATCCGAATGGAATATTTTAAAATCCTCAAATGAGTCGGTGAATTGGTTTCAAAACTTTAATCAACTTCATTTGCTTAGAAATAACACAACTAGTCCTAATCTGAGACAACGTAATCGTAATGTGAAATTTTTTATTTAAATAATTTTCCTTCGAATGAAGGATGAATAATTAATGTTAGGATTAAGGATTTAAATTATTTCATTTCAGCATTTTTAATCCATTCATCATGTTTTTTAACTAATTCAGGAATTATTTTTGATTCAATCTCAACGTCATCTTTTAATTCTTGTTCAGATAGCTTTAAATTAAATTCAGAATCTTTCGTTATAAATACTACTTCAAGTTTTCTCGTAGTTAAAAGGTTACCAATGACAATTTGATGACCATATTTTGTTAGGGCTTGCCTTGATTTAGAAACTAATAGGGAAGGATCTGTTTCCAACTGTATAATAAAAACGTAAATTATTTTATAAATATATTTTCATATCAGGGAAAGAAATGAATTATGACTACTAGTATCCAACCTTAAAAGAGACAATAAATCCTTCTGGTACCCAATTTGTGACCAACGGCTTTAGAAATTTAGGCACTTGATCCATTGAGAGAGTTAAACCACCTTCTGCAGATTGGATCTTATGCTGAACCTTTAATTATATTCAAAGATTTTAGCATAAATAAATAAATGAAATAATAAAAAAAAAACTATCAACATTTTACCATTTTCTGAGATGGAATAAAAAAATCGCTAACAGCAGCGGCGAGATAATACATCGCGCGCTCTTTTAAACACGTCATAATCTGCGTAACGCTACGAAGAAGAAAGAGATAATCTGATAAAGTAACGAAATTAAGTAACAAGAGTGTATCTTCTTGTTTTACCTGATAATAATATAAATTATTAATATAAAGAGTAATGTATTTAAAAAGAACAAATTGATTCGAATATACATGTCTAATTATTTAAATTTTTTTATATAAATCATAACTCACTTTTTGATATTTCTTCAATACAGATTTCATTTTTTTAGAATATTTTGGATTAACTATTTAATGATGAATTGATTTTTCTTTAGTAAAATGTACAATGTTTGATTCGATTGCATTGATTTATTTACCTTCAATGTTATCATCATCTTTTAATTCCATATAATCGAGAAAACAATTCGTTGAATGAGTATAATGTCTACTAAATGGTTGTAAGCTAAATTGCCTATGCATAAATATTACTGCATATCCAACTTTAAGAAAATATGTGTTTATGACATCAAAATTTTTTTTTAATTTTTTTTTCTTGTTAAAGAACAAAAATGAAAATGATTCTTTTTTTTGTCTTAAAAGAGAAAAAAAAAAAAAATTACTAAAAAGGATATTCAGCTGAAGTAGCTCCTCGAGTTCCCGCACTAAAATTATCCAAAAATCTTACAGTATTGTTCTCGATTGGTACAGTAGTACCTCCGCTCTATGAATAAAATTGTTTGAAAGGTTTTAAAAAAAAGAAAAATAAATACATTATAAGTAAATTTAATTATTTTATTACCGTGATTAAAACAATTCTTCTACCAGCATTATCATGTTTATTTACGAATCCTTTGACTTTAATTTCATTATCAGGTAATGTACGAGGTTGCGAATTAATTTGAAAGTACGTGTCAGGATTAATTATTTCATTCGTACCCTCAAGTATATTTGACGTGGTCATTTTTATAAAAAATCGGTTGAAAAAAAAAAAAAGAAATAAGATAAGCAAATCAAATTTAGCATGGTTTCACGAGGTCCATCGTAATAAAAAAACCCCATTTAAATACGAGCGAAAATACAATATACAGTAGCTAGAGTTTTCGTTCGGTGATAGAATTTCGAATATCAAACATAAATCACATGAAATTCAATGAAATCATTAAAAAAAAAAAAATTCTAAATTCGTTTTTTTAAATGAAACATTATAACAAAAAAAAAAAAAAAATAACTGTGGCTTGGTTACTAGTGATGTGAACAAAGTATTTTTCTGAGATTGCCATATTAAAATATTTTTTATTTTTCCTTCGCAACATCTACATTTCAGTAAAGCATAAATTACAGATTGAGATTATTGAATTATTACAAGAAAATAAGCTATATTAATTTTTTTTTATTTGATCTAATGTTTACCACATTAAATTTATATTTTCTAAAATCTGGTTCCACAATAATATGAATAAGTCTGCCACTGGCAGAGTCTTTTGACATTCCCTCCTCATTGACAGACCTCAAACATTTCACAAGTTCAACTTCATTAATCAGTTTATCAAACTCCGTTTCACCATATAATTCATCTTTCCACTTCTTAAGAATTCGAGGTATTAGACCCCATCTTCCCATTAGCATCTCAAGTTTTTCACATGTAAATCTATCACCATTTTCGTCTTTCATTTCCTTATATCGGACGTTCCAAAGTGTAGTTATTCATCATCATTCCAAATTGGCATATAATATTTGGTAATACCTTCTGATTTCCACATTGAGTGATATAACTCTGCTTTTGGAGACGTCAACAGAATAACATAAGCACCACTTTTTTCA